GTTCAATGTTTTGGGGCTTAGGGTTCCACTTTCGGGGTTTGTTTCTTTCTTGTTTAGGGGTTTAGGGGCTTCGCTTTTGAAGAAAACTGCGATTGAACGTTGAAAGCCAAGTCAGCATGGCAGAAATCCTGGATGGTCGGAAACGAAAACTGCCAGAGAAGATCAGGGAAAAAGCACCCCGGGCCGATATTGAAGCCCCGCCCAAATACTTCAGCCCTTCAGCCCTAAATACCTTCAAAGCTCGAGTTTGGCCAAGAAGAATGGCCCCCCTTTGCCCTACACACTAAACCAGGGTTTTGGGGTATATTGTACTATAAATAGAATAAGGAACTATAGGTAGTTATTAAGGCCCCTACCAAATACACCAGCGCTTATGCCATTCACTCTTGCCAAAACCCAAGACTCCTAGACCCTGAAACACAAATTTCCAACCTGTTAAACACTTGTATAAGGAAGTCTTGGTAAGGAATGGTTCTTCATGGTTCCGGTAGACGCCCAAGCTGAAACTGAGCGTCTAATGCAGGTGTCGGAGTAAACAGTAGCAGATATGTATCTAGGATTCTATACATCAGTACACATGTACACGCACACGAATGTGATGCCCTCCCCCAAAGATGTACTACCCTCCTTATGTGTGTATACATATGTGTGTATATATATATATATATGCATACATATATATATATATATACACACACACACCTTAACATATAAATATAAATATAAATATACATATAAATATAAATAAATGTATATATATATATATGTATCCAAACATGCATATGTATATACCTATGCCTGTATGTATGTGAGTAAACACACAACCCAACTCCGATGCTAATTCTTCAACCCTAAACCCTAAACCCAAATCCCATGTTAATTCTTCAACCCTAAACCCTAAACCCAAATCCCATGTTAATTCTTCAGGCCCTTTGTTTCGAGGCTGCCGCCATTTCATGGTCTTCCTTTCGTCCGCCCCGGGCTTCAGGAATCCGATGTACCTGGGCACTTTAAGGGATCTACAAGGGTTCCTTTAAGGGCTCCTTTCCGGGATCGATTAGGGTTCCTTTAAGGGACTTAGGCGTTGAGTAGAGGGATGCTGAAGTCGTCGGGGACTTAGCTTAGGGACCTTAAAGAGTAGAATAGGCTTTTTTGAGGGACCTTTAATACTATAATAACAGAAAACTACATAAACAAATATATATATATATATAGATATGTACATAGACATATATATATATGGATATACATATGTATTTAAATTTATGTATATCCATAAACAGGGACTATCAGCAAATTTGATGATTCCGACATGTCTACCAGCTATATAAAGCTATCTTTAACGGCCCGACAGGATCTTT